CCCATAAGTTAGGTGTGGTGACATAGAGGTAGGAGTTCTTCATCAGAAATTCAAGGCCAGCAAGTTCAAAGCCAACCTGGATACCTGAAATCCTGTCTCAAAAACAAAAAAGAAACTAGTAATAATGAAGGATAAAAGTCCTGACTCAAGGGCTGGTGAGATGGTTCAGTAGAGAGGCACCTGTCTCCAAGCCCAATAATCTGAGCTTGATCCTGGAACCCATGATGTGGAAGGATTGAACTGACTCCTGCCAAGCTGTTCTCTGAAAAACACATGTAAATGTAAACAAAGCACCCACTTAAAGGCCGATGGATCGTAACTTCACTAGATTCACCAGGAAGACAAATTAAGACTGATCCTAAGCGGGTCATCTGGGGAACTGACCCACAATCTGCTTCCCTCTTCAGTTGTTTACACTTGCACCTCCCTGAACACTCAAGCTTGTGTTTTGGGGCTCATAATCTCTAGTTCCTGTTTGCTCCTTCCCCAAGGTAGGAGACAAAGCTTCTGAATGCTAGTTAAAATAGAGTTCAGAACATGTTAACTAATCAGGCTTTTCATCTTTAAGCAGCCTGTCCCCAACTCAGCAACTAATCAAAGGCTTTAGCGCCCCCTTACCTTCTGGTAAACATTCCAAGGGAAGGTTTCTCAGGTGCAGAGAACTTGTCCTATTTATTTTCATACTTTTAACACCCCTACAGTGATGCCAACTCATAATCAGGTTAGGTGTTCAGCTGACGTCTGTTGGGTTAAATCGCCTTGATTTGGACTTCTCAGGGTGACTGAAGCAGTGTTGGCCTACACTCAGTCCCCAGTTAAATCCTTGGAAAGGAAGGACTAGCTGGAATGCTCAGTGACCACCTGTTTCCTGCCTGTCTCCATGGCTCTCAGACTTAAGTCTCCACAGTACCATAACTGTGGATCTGGATTAATATACAATGTTCTTTTTTATGGGGGGTGGGGCGGGCAGGATCTCACTATGTAGCCCTGGATGGTGTGGTATATAGTCTGGTTGGCCTCAAACTTACAGCAATCCTCCTGCCTCAGCCTTCCAATTGCTGAAACTACAGGCAGGCACCGCCATGCTGGGCCATAAAAGATCTTCGTGCTGATGGACTGGAATGCACTTCCTAATTCTATTATTTCTTACCATTGGGCAACTGAGAAAAGGCATGAGAGATAAAAGTTCATCTTCACCAGACATTTCTTCTCAGTATCTTACAAAACTTTCTGCCACACATTTTTGGAAATTACCTTGCTTACTTTAACTCAGAAATTTTGTTTTGTTTTTATTTAAAGGAGAAGTTTACACATTTCTAAGAAATTAGTAATTTTACCATCAAGCAAACCACTTCATCCATATTTTATTTTTATTGTACAGATCAACATTTTACAGAAATAAAGACCCTCTTAATAGTAATCTCTGCAATCATATGTCTTGTGATTCCTTGCAATGTAGAGATCTAAAATTTTATACAAATATAATCAGCACACAATAATTTGTTATAATTAACATTTTTTGATTCTCAAAACACTTTTGCATACAATTTTACATATACCATTTAATTCTATGTAAGTTTATGACAACAATAGCAATACACCAAAATTTACCATTCCTTAGTCATGGGCTTCTTAAAAATATGCAAATGAATTGCTAAAACACCTTTGTAGAAGTAGCTTTACTATTATTTTCCTCTGTGTATTTTCCTGGGCATATGTTACTCAAAGTGATGGAGCATATCAAACAACAGTGAGAATGCTCCTCCCAATCCTGTAAGTAGTTCTTCAAATGACTGCAGACACACAAAGGCACTGAAATGAAGACCCAAAGTCTTAAAATCCACTTAATAGCAGGAATTAGGTCAAAGTTGCTTCAATCACCGTATTTCAAACACATTCATTTGAATATCAAAAAGTTGATTTTTCACTTCCAACTTCCCAGTTGCAATCTAGCACCATAAACTGCACTGGCAAGAGCAGAAAGCCTTAAGAATCTGCACCCACTTAAAAAAAAAAAACCTGTGCTGTACAGTCTTCTCCCGACCTGTTCTCCTTATTTTGCAGGTATTTTTCATTTTAGTTTACCTTGTCAACGCTGTTCACTGACAGAATATTCCTTTGCACAATTACTGGGATAAAAATCAGTCTTTTACTTTTAAACTTGACAATGTCATGCAATTTGACACATACTGCTTATCATATGGAAAATGGACCTTGTATGTATCTCCACAATGATCCAGCTAGTTCTCCTATGAGCAGTCATTAGTCGTTAAATACTTCTTTGCAAGTGGTTTGTTTACTGGCCTTACACTTCCTTGAACTCGGCACCACAGAACACTGAGAAAACTTGCTCAATATTAATAGCTGCCTTAAGGACTTGAAGGACAAAGCCCTAGTTTTTTTTCCCCAAAATTAAAAGCATCTGTCCTTGCCTGCTTACTTTCCTAATTTATCACAATTATGTCAAACTATATACAGCATCCACTTGCAATATCAAATAGTAATAAATTCACGTACTCATATCACATGATGGCATTACTTTGAATATAGTTTCTTACAGATTACCCAACTTAATCTTCACAATAATTGTTGAGTATTATTTCTATTTTATAGGTGGTGATATGGAAGTTAAAAGTGAGTGTCCCGAGATGAGACAACTTGGAGGGAGTGATGTGAGGCCTCCCCATGTTTATGATTTTTCTTTCTTAAGTTATTCTAATATAGCTATATAATGCTTTTTAAAGTCAGTTCATATATATTAATACCCCAATATTCTTTAAAATTCCATCACTGCTGGTATCTAGAATTGAGATTTTTTTTTTTTTGGTCTTTTTGAGATAGGGTCTCCCTGTAGCCCCAGCTGTCCTGGAACTCACTATGTAGACCAGGCCGGCCTTGAACTCACTAAGATCCACCTGCCTCTGCCTCCCAAGTACTGGGATTAAAGGCATGCACCACCACACCCGGTTTAGAAATGAGAATTTTTAAAAACTATTTATCTTGAACTTGTAAAATTAGTCTTATTAGTAGTATGTCTAGTAAATATATTAAATAAAATACAGGCATATAAAGGCATGGAGAGAGAATATATTTGTGCTGCACTCTTTCTGTATCTTTATTTTCCAATATTTTTGTCCAATGACAAACTTCCTTCAGCCATATACAGTTAAAATGGGGCCCACATGGTTTGCTTTCTGCTTGAGAAATGTTCTTACATACTTTCTCAAAATGAATGTGAGTTAAGTTTTAAGTAATTGCTTATTATATTATGAAAAGTTCATGAAATTATTAGCAAACATAATTAAACAAAACATAAATGATAATTTTTAGTTACTACAGTTAATCTTTTGGATTCTGCCATTTTGTTCTACTAATGTTGATGCGTGGGTATCTAACTGAGCATTAGCCTTACAATTCTGAGCCACAGAAAACAATGTTGTTGTCTTGTGTGCCAATAGTCTGTGCTGCAGTTCTCATCCACTCAGAACCAGAGCCTTTTTAAACTGCCTGACTCAGTGCGAGCCATACGTGCATCAACCTGCAACTCCTGGAGTACTGTCTTTAATGATTACATTGTTTTTAATTCCTTAAATATTTGAAAACTACCAATAAGCCTATTCTAATTTGTCAGAAAATTAAATTATAAGAGTCCCTAAGTTTTTACATAATCGTGCTAGTTTGCCTCACTTTCAACTTCCATGTCTCAATTTCTAAAGCAATCCTGGCTTTGGCTTACTCTTGCCCTTACCTCCATTCTTTGAACTCCATCCTCTAGAACTTCTCACTTCTCTTTTCAATTCCTTTAAAAAAAAAAGATTTACTTTGTTTGCCTGCAATGGTTGTGAGTTGCCATGTGCAGGCTGGGAACTGAACTCAGGTCCTCTGCAAGATCAGAAGTGCTCTTAACCACCAGCCTTCTCTCTAGCCCCACTGTTCAATTTCTCATGAGTAATCTGTGATTCTGAGAAACTTCAAAGAGCCTCGCTTTCACTGTATCTTCTAATTGTTTTTTTATCTTAGTTGCTAGTCTGTAGGTCATTTCAGGTATTTCAGTGGTTTTGACAGATTTAAACTTTAGGATCTACCCAATAATATCACTTTACTGCATTCAAAAAAAAAAATCAGTATTAATACCAACCAAGACTTTCCCATCTTCGGTGTACTGTGACTTATTTAAGTCTCCCTCATCTCATTTCCTCATACCAGAAGAGCAGGAAGAGCACAATCAGAACACATTTTAGTCTACTAATGTTTTTATAATATTCAGATCAAAAGGAAGATACTAAAGTGCATTACTTTGCTAAAATTTAGACAAATTCAGCTTCAGTGAGATCCACAGCTCGAACGCAGTTATTTTAAATTAACTTCACTGTTTCCTCATTCACTAAGCTGCAAGATCAGGATCTACATTCTTTTCTTCCCAGCACTCTTAATTAGAGTCTGATCTCCATGGGCACCTTCTTCTCCGTTACAGTACCCTGACTCTTCTAACAGTGTTTGTGGAAGAACAAGGGCTTGGGAATTCCCCAAGACTGGGTTCCAGTGCCGCTTCCTTTGGGTAGCAGACTCTGGGCAAGTTACTAAAAATTAAGCCTCCGTTTTGCCTTTGAAAGTATAAGCCGTGATATCTGCCTCACGGACTGCTGAGACAGTGCAACAGAAAGCACAGTGTGAAGAGCCTGGCAAAGAGCAAATGCTGTTTCAGAGAGAAAACTCGTTATTTTCTTCCTGTAGGACTGTCCTCTCTGCCTGAGGGATGGAAATGAGGAGTTGTACTCTGTACACCGTCAGAGTACAGCCATTTTTATGATTCCTGGTGGCTTGGCTGGGGGCAGGGGGATTTTCTATTCTCTGAGTAACAGTGGTATAATAGAAGTGATTATGAAGGCTGGTCCTCCCCGTATTTGCTATATCAATTAACACCACTTATCAAAATCTTGCAGCCAACGATGTGGCTTGTTTCTCCTTGAGAAAGCTTGGATAGGGGACCTGTTCACAGAGTGTTTTTTTTTTTTTTTTTTACAATGTACTTCTATTTTTATTTTTGGTGGTAGCTGCTGTTTTGAAATGATGTTTCACACTGTCACCCAGACTGGCCTGGAGTTTGCAGCAATTCCCCTGCCTCAGCTTCCTGAATAAGATTATGAGAGTGAGCCACCACACCCAGACAGCGATGTGTTTCTTTAAAATGAGCTCAAATACTAACTCCCACTCTTTCTGCAAAGTAGAAGGCTATGATGTTCTAATCGCTCCATTGGTTACAAAAGTTAAGCAGATGAAATGACCTGCAAAATGTAAACACCAAGACAGTACATGCATAGCTAATCTTTTTGCAATTAGACAATTGTGTTGTTCTAATGGCACTTGTACTAGTTGCTAGTCCTACCACCAACTCTACATGTTTATATTATATACAAAAACCACATAATCTACTGTTGGGTGTGTGTCACCACCCAACAGAAGTGGTAGCAACAATAATCGCTGCAAAAATAACCAAATTATTCCTTAGACATTAATTTTCTTGTACACAATGATAAAATCTGGACAGAGTAGCAAGAATAGTATCATTTTCCTTCAAATAAACTTGCTAACACTGAATGCTCACAGATACACCCAAAAGTAAGTAAGCTAACAGTGTCTTAAGATTCTGGATCCCAGAGCCATTTCTGAAATAAAACACTGAATAAACAAGAAATCAGTTGCTGATAGGTTAACAAAGATACCCGATGCTCAATGTCTCGGAGTTAAAGACAAGATCTGAATAGCATTTATACATAGCGATTTCTACTTATTCACATGGTAGCTATCTTTCAAATGAGACAATTTTGATGCCAGGATGGAAAGCATTTCCAGCTGGTTCTCTTTTAATTTTGAAGGTGTTCTGGCTCTTCTAGGCTCTTCCTTTCCCCAGGGGATTCTAGCTTGGCCGTAAGTGTGTCATCGGTTGCTGAAGTGTCTGACTGCTTATCCTCACCATCAAAGATAATGTCTTCTGGATTTGGAGGAGGTGGGCAGAATTCCTCATTGGGAAAGAGCTCCTGGAACAGCCTTTCTGCTTGTTTGACTGCAGGCTCATTCCCCAGTGCACAGTCAGGCCCAGAGCAGACGTACACATTGGAAGGTAAGCCACAGTATGAGCTTTGGCTCACACCTGAGGAATCTCTCATGTTAAAATAAAGAGCCCACAAGAGTCTTGGTTTTCTGAGTTCTTCCTTCTCCGCTTCTGTTTCTGAGAAAGGAGTGAAGAGTTTCTTCACCACTGGCTCTAAGTCTTCTCTTGCTGTTTTTGAGGAGGAGCAGGTCAAATGGACCAGATAGGTGTCTTTCATGCACGTCATGGTTGAAGAACATAATTCAGTGACCCGAACAGAGCAGGTTCCTGGCTCCAGTGGAGGCACTCTCAAGATGGAAATCTGCTGATCTGAATCTGTCTCCAGCATGGACTGGTCTGTGATGAGCACGGCCCTTGAGATCTGCTTATACTGCATGTTGGAGCATGTGTCCTTCGAAAGGTAGCTATCCTCCACAATAAAAGAGCTAGCATTTATCCTCTGGCCCAAGTGGTCTATGACTGCTCTACAGCTTCCGGAGTCTTTGTCAACTACAAAGCATTGTATTTTGTGGTGAAGACAATAGATTCCACCAAAAACTGCACACATCCTGCAGAAACACTGGGGAATTTCCCTTTGGCCATACAAAGGAAATAAAAAGGGAGTGTTGCCATATCGTCCAAGACACTGAAGGAAGTTTTTTTGTTGCTTTAAGCCCATCTAATGTAGTGCAAGGTGATTCTGATGTCATTGCAATTGAGTGGAGTATAAAATGCTGGAGGTTGGGGGTTAGTTTTTTAGTTTTTAAGTACTCAGAAAATGAGCACTGGTTGAAATCTTGGTATTCATCAGGATGCTGTTCATAGTCTAAACAGAACGTAAGGAATTTCATTAGCATCCTCTTTTCAACCATGGTGAGCTCTTTACTATTAAAGACATCTACTCTGGAGCAAGGCACCTGTTCTACCTTCCCTTCCCGAAATGTAAGAATCCTAGTGACATTCTTAAATTCTGCGTAACAACTAACATTTGATTTGATTAAAAGGTCAATCAGAGATCCTTGAGAATACAGCAGCTTTGATACCAAATCAATATTAAACTTCCTGCTTTCCTTAACCATCTGAGGGTAAGTGATCCTACTTCTCTTTGGCTGACCAGGGTGGTCCTCTACAGCAAGTCTGTTTTCATCTCTGTGTCCATCTGAAACTGTGTGGATACAGGCTTCCTCTCCACAGTGCTGTTCCTTCTCTGGTGAGTCCTCTACATCAGGTACAGCCACTGAGAGCTCTGTTTCACTTATCTCTGTTTTTGTGGAAGGCATTTCTTTGGGCAAGCATACAGAATCCAGAGGCTCAGGGAGGGTACCAAATGCCTCTGGGGAAAGACTTTTCTGTAGAGCATCAGTCTCTTGAATGCTGTCTCCCACATCCTGACTAGCATAACAAAAGACTTCTTTGTGCTGAATAGTTTCATCCTTCTGGGAGAGAGCAATGGCTTCTTCCGTTTCATGGATGGAGTCTTGCCAGGCAGCAGTCCCTTCTTCCTCACTGCCGTTGTTCTCCTGGCATTCCTTCAACCAGGAAAGCAAACCTGAAAAGCTGAAACTAGCCCAGTTCCCTCCATAGTAACTTCTTGAGTCAACATGCAGAACACTCTGCCCACTTCTTGAACATGCAGCTGCAAGGATGGACTCAGGCAGACCTGTTCCTACTATAATCACATCAAACTCTGTGGGAAGCCTGTCTGCCATCCTAGGAGCTGAAGTGTAGGGTGACAGCTAATGAAGAACTGTGAGGGCTCCTCTGAGGTGATTAGGCTGTAATAAAATCTCTCTTTGTAAAGTTCCAGTTCATTCCAGAAACATGGAGTTTGCAAGTCCTAAACTGCTGAACTGTTATCAATTTTAAACATTTTAAGACAATAAGTCAGTAGCATGGAAAACATGACACAGTGCCTGTATGACATCTGAGAACACCAGAATGGATGTGTCCTTTTCATTCCTGCTTTTCACCTTAGCAGTAAATGTTACAATACACCACACAGGCATTTGTGACAGGAACACTTCTCTGGAAGAAGAAAATTCGAGAAAGAATACAATCGTAAATAATATAAAAGCAATTTCATGCAACAGCAATTTCATTCCACTGGTGCCTGACCTGGATATAACCCTCTCTCAAAGCTGGTCATTAAATGCTTTCTCACAGATTTCTAAGTTTCTTAAAACTGAACAAAAAAGATATATACACTCTCCTCAAAAGTCAGGCAATACAATACTAAGGCATAGACATACTGTTCCATGCACAGAAAAGGAGTTAACACTATACAATTCTTTGATCTTTAAGAAAATATTTGAACACAACTTTATATAGCTGTGAGCTTAAACTAAAAGAATGTGTGGTTTCCCTATACTGTGTTCATACCATCATGATCTGGACTATTACTGTGGCCAATAAAGTCTGCAGGAGGCTCCAGAACAACTATATAAGACTTTTCCATGCCTAACTACCAAAAGGATCCTGTGAGCTACATGGGACTACTCTGAGTTAACCAGAGAGATGTTAAAAATGAATCAATTCAATAACTGACATTTAAAACCATAAAAGGGCATAAAAGAATAGGCCTGATGGGAAATATTTTTATAACATTTTCTGTATCGAAGTGCATATTCATGTGTTTTGTAAGTAATTGGGCCCAATGGGCTAGTATCCTATTTCTAAAAAGGTAGTGAAGAGAGACTCTTTCGTTCACTTGTACCATAACGTTGGCTGTATTCTGTATGTGGAATATCTGTGTGATGCTCTGTGTGGTCAGAGGCTGTTCTGCCTTGTGGATACTCACCTGGAAGTCTTCAGGCTAAAGCACTATACATACAACTGCCAACCTTTCTACTGCTTAGCATGCACAGTAGCAGTGAAGGAGCTTTGACTTCTAATTTTCACTACAGTTAAATATACTGACATCTAGATACCAGTAAGAGAACAATCATTCTGATGCTCAAAACACCATTCAACTGGAACTCAGATGAATTTCACTAGGTCACTGGTCTTACAGGTCAGAACTGAAACGGTGACCTTAAGCCCAGCCAGCAGAAACCTCTGACTCAACATTATCAGGGTGTCTACATACTTTTAGCCTTCCTTGGGAAGTCAGAGCACAGAATAAAGCAGTTACAAGGTCTACTCATATACGTATGTAAGAATATGTGAATATCTTCTCCGTCCTTCCTCCAGCAGGGTGTGAAGAGGGAGACAGAGCCTAGGAGTCTCTAAAGTGTAAGCACAGTAAGCACTTCTTGGTTTAAAAAGGGACAGGGCTGAGGGTGGCAGTAAGAGGAAGGGGACAGGCCATAAACACCAAGTCTACAGCTGTCAAAGGAATCTTCAAAATACAAAGTAAGTGGGATGACCTTAAGCACTGGATAAAAAGATGGGAAACTGATGGCTGGGAGATGACCTGGAAACGTGAAAAACCTGGGAAAGCCCACATCACACGGTAGCCACAGGACCCAGCCTGGTGCCATCAGACCAGTAGTCCTTCCAAGAGCTAGTGCTGCCTCTCCCAAGGGCTGAAGCACACAGCAATTTCCAGCATTTAAAAATATCTTCTCTGGCTGGAGAGATGGCTCAGTGGTTAAGACTGCCGACTACTCTTGCAGAGGACCTGGGTTTGATTCCCAGCACCCACATGGCGGCTACGAACCGTCCTTAACTCCAGTTCCAGGGGAATCCGAAGCTGTCTTCTGACCTCCGTGGCACTGCACAACACGGGTGCACTCACAAACATGCAGGAAATACACCCATACACATAAAAAAATAAAATAAAATAATAAAATAATAAAAAAAAAATCTCCTGGCTCAGGGACCAACAAGGGAAGTACCCTCCCTTTCTTCATCCTTAACTCTAACCTAGTAGCACATTCCAGGCAAGGACATTATCTGTGCTAAGAATGTTTTATCTGCAGTGACCTCACTCTTGATGTGTACCCAGGGCTTAACCAAACTTCATTCCTCTAACCCCAGATCTATCTCGGATTCTAGAATGGGGATCACATCATGATTGAAAGCACCAACTAAATGCCTAGAGTACAGCAAATAGAGCACCATGTGGTGAATGCCTCTGGAGTCTTACAAAACCACTTCTGACAGTTATAAGCCTCTGAAGGAATGCTGAAGGAGAAGACAGGAAGAGAGCAGGAGACACCAGTGGTTGGCAGAGCCAAAGGAGAGACAGGATGGGTGCTGTCAAGCACTTACAAGCAAAACGCAATCGGTTCTTGTTTACCCACTCCCAGGTAGACGCAGAAAATCCCAGCACAGAAAAAGGTACTTCATGGAAGTGAGAACCTTCATATTTGTGAATAAACACCTCCACCCACCCTCCAGATTCCATTAGGCTAGGCCTGACTGACATCACCTTCATTTAAAGGTAAGTCCTTTCTAAAAAAAAAATGCCTGTCAGATATTTTTAGTTAGCATGAAGTGTAATCACAGTCCTCTATATTACCGCCTGCATACACTTACAGTCCCAGAGTCAAGTTTCCTTTTTTTTTTTTTTTTTTAAACAAAGGAAATTCTTGGATTAATGCTTATTGGACAGGAGGAAGACAAGAAATTATCAATCAGTGAAAAAAATGAAATCATCACTTCTGCATTTTGTTTTCTTAAAAAAAAAAAAAAGAATTGCTTTCCACAATATAGGTTGGTGAATAAATCTTGGTGATATGTAAGCCTAAACAAGGTGAAAATCCCAGCATAACATGGGGAATGGGTAAGAAATCCCAGCCCTTCCTGAGGGATTATTGGAAACCAATGGCTGTTGGGAGGGGGAGGTCAGTTTCTTTTAAGGGTGAGACTCTTGGTAAGTTGACTAGGCTCCAGTGGATGGACCCACACCAAAGGGGCATGTGATGTGGGGACACGAATTTAACTCTATGGGTATATACATATATATAAGGTTAGTAAGGGGGTTGCAGATATGGGGTGCAGAGGGGAGGGGAATCTAAATATGATCAAAATATATTGTATGAAATTCACCAAAAATTCTATTAAAAAAGCTAGTGATGTTATACAGATTTTGTTCTGTAAGCTCTGCTAAGATAAAGGCAGTAATATGGTGTCAATGGATTTCAAGGTTTGAAAAAAGGAATTTAAAGATTTAACACATTTCTATTTTAAATCTTGGCACAAATGCAATTCTTGGGACGGAGACACACACACACACACACACACACACACACACACACACACACAGCCTTTCCCAAGCTTAGAATGGGTTAGTCAACACTTAACCTGTCAAGTCTCACTATAAATCTTCAATAAACGGTCAAGTTCTACTTTAATGAAATGTATTGACTGCTAGGCTAATTATTTATTCACCCAAGTGAATCTGGAGTTCCCCCAAGCCATTTGTAACCTCACCTTCAGATTCCGGTGTGCCAGAACGTATAAGGAGAAAAACACAGTAAAAATACCTTACAGTTGCCCTCCCTAGGAAATTCAAACGTTTATCACCACTACTGAATGAATGGGGGATGGGGAGACAGAGACCGCTAGTATTTAAGGTTTCTACCTGTCACTTTAGGAAACAAATGAAAAACCTGTTCTCGTCCCCTACTTTAACTTTTCATGAGTTGATGACTTTTTTTCTCGCAAGGCCCTCGTTTCTTGAAAGGCCATTATGAAATGCCTGGCCGAGTTACAGTAAGAAGTGAAAACAGGAAATCAAAGTACAGGAGCTGGACAGAGCGGGGAGTCGAGGGGAGTCGAGAAGCGGCTGGAGCTGTGCCGGGAGCTAGGGATAAGGCGGGATGAAGGGAAGGTAGCGTGGACAGATGGAGGGATGTGGAGACACGGAGGGTGGTCGGATGGAGGGGTGGAAGGGAGGACCCGGGGAAGCCTGGGGCGCAGAGCCCTGTAGCTGGGGAGGAGAGGAGGGCGCGTCCCGCCGACTCACCGAAGAGGCTGCCGCTAAACCCGTCCCACGCGCAGCCCACGGCGTCCCACACCCAGCCGCTCCGGAGGCACGACGCGAAGGTGAAAGTGACTCCGAATAGGGACCCCAGCAGATCGCCCAGGCTGAGGTTGAGCAGGAGGAGGTGGGTGGGCGTGCGCAGCCGCGGGAACTTGGAGTAGAGCAGCAGCGCCAGCAGGTTGCCACCGACGGCCAGCAGCGCGAGCCCGCCGAGCAGCAGAGCCAGGCGCTCGTATGCCGCCGGGCTGAAGAGTGGCGCCGGGCTCCGCGTCCCCGCCGGCTCCGCCTCGGCGCCCGTTGCCCCACCGTCCTCCCAGAAGCCCTGGCCGCCGCTGCGGTTCCCCGAGAACATGGCCCGCCGCCCGCACACTCTGCGGCCGAGGGTTTGGCGAGCCGCGCGAACTGTAGCGCGGCGCACAGGCGAGAATCACCCTCAGCCGGCCGCTCTGGCCATTGTGCCCCGCGACGCCGCGCCCGCCGGACCGCGCACCCGGCGCGCACCCGCGGCTCCGCCCTCCGGCTTGAGGCCCCGCCCTCAAGAGTGAAGCCCGCCCTCTCCGCGCGCGCTCCCCTTTGCCTTCAAAAGCCTGCTCACACGGCTACCCTCGTAGCCCCGCCCTTCCGGCGCGCACTAACGGTCCCGCCCTCAGGCGTGTGGCAGACCTCTCGAGTGAAGCCCAGCCTCCCAGCCCTTCGGGGAAAGGCCCCGCCCACTCGTCGCCCCTGGTTCCCCTCCCTTCCGGCGCACAATTACGACCCTGCCCGACGACCTGAGGCTCCGCCCACCAGACTAAAGCTCCGCCCTTCATGAGCATAATCTCGTGGCCCCGCCCTTCCGCGTGAGGCCACGGCCTCCAGGGTGAGGCCCCCAAATCCCACGCACTCTCGTGGACCCGCCCCTTGTCGTGAGACTCCTCACCCTTCCATCGAGCATTCAAGACCCCTAAGTCCTGCGGGAGGATCTTCCCTTCCGCACTCCTCATCCCTCCAGGGTGATGGCCCCTCTTCCAGGCTCCCCGCTGACCCCGCCCTCCGGAGCACGGCTCCGCCCTCTTACCCCGGTCTGCTTACTGAAGGACCCGCCTTTCCCGCCCACATTAGTGGCCCCGCCCTCTGGGCTGTGGCCCCGCCCTCACCGTGCTCCCCTGGCGCTCCAATCCCTTCCCTAGGTCGCCTCACCCGACCTTCCTCGCCCCTATGCGACGCCTCTTCCATGCCCAGCCTCCTCTTGCTCGGCCCCTTCTCCCTGAACACCGGCGTGCAGGCACGGGGAGGCAAGTCCAGAAGGAAAGAAGGCACATAGGTCAGTTAGCCTCAGTCCCCTCTCTCAGCTCCAAAGCATGGTATCCAATCACCGGTTCAGTCACTCCCCTATGCATCCATTCATTCATAAATATTTATGAATGCCGGTGCGCACCACGCGCTGACTAGAGAGCCCAATGAAATACCCAGTTAGGCTTCACCTTTTCTTGGGAAGCTATAATAACGCCCACCCTTCATTGTACACCGAATGCAAATAAAACACTGGAATGCACTGGGTAGGGTACCAGTCAATCTTACAAACAAGGAAAGTGAGGAAGAGAAACAGAAAATGAGAAAGCTGGAAGGTATGTCCAGGGTTTATAACCGCTAAGCTGCCGAGACTAGGATGCCTGCCACTCTCAGAGCTCCAGGATAATGAAAGAAATGGCATTGTAGAGGCACTCAAGTCTCCCCCAGGCTGGATCCCACACCAAATGTCTTGCATTTGGGGTAGGTTCTGGACTTGGACTCAAGCCTGCTGAAGCTTTTCACAGGCCGTGACTGCCTGGACGGTGCCTCCAAAGCTTCAACCTAAATCTAGTACATATAGAGAGGATATATTTAGCACAGCAGGCATTTTCCACTGGGCCTTTCCCCAGTAGCCATGAAAATATAGTACAAGTCAAATATAGATTGTGAACGTGATCACACTCCTTAAATAAAGGCTGCTTTTGTCTCTGTCTCTTCCCTCACCTGAGTTGCATCTGCAGCTGTCTTTTGCACTGGTTTGTGGGAGCTAAAGCAATTGATGTTCATGACTGTTAACCCCTCCCACTTCTGTTCAAAAGATTAGTCAAGGACTAACCAGTGAATCTCCAGTTTCTCTGAGAGAGAATCAGGTGGGTAGATGGCTCTCCATCCTGGTGCCCTCCCTGAACACTAACCAAGGGTCACTGTACTCTGCCCTCAAAACCTTGATCTCCATTTTTATGGCTTCTAGCTGGAACTTGCCTATCTATAAGATCTTCTAGCCCACCTACCCTGAAAAGTGTTTTTAATTTTATAATTTAAACTTATACAATCATTATCAAGTTCTTTATGTATTTTCACTGTAGTGACTCTTCTAGAGTACGATTTCAATCAATATTAGTCGAATGAATGAATGAATGAGTCGTTTTTTCTAAAGCATTCATTCTTTGGAGATGGGTCCTTTGGTCATAAACCTCACATTCTAGTGGTGTTGGGAGAGTAAACAGTATCAAATAAGTTCATGAAGAAAATGTCAGATGCTAAGAGCCATAAAGAATTGTAAGGCAGAGAAGGGTATGGAAGAGAAGAAATGGGTTGTTATTTAGACAGATAATAGTGCACTGAATACTGTACACACAGGATATGTGTGCTAAAGTACTTGTCCCATTGGAGAAACAAGGAAACCAGTATGGCAGAATGAGAGCAGATGACCAGGTGGGGGTGGGGGTAAGCAGTGCCTTGGCCATTGTCGTGAAAGAGATTTGACTTATTCTGTCTGCATAAAGACCAGAGCAATGCTCACAAGAGGAAGGACAGTCATGAATGAAAGGGAGAAACTGCCTATGGGAAATATTTAAGCATTTTGATCATTGTATTATAATCCTATGAATTAAGGGATTTTTTAATTCTTATTGAATTTTTGCAGATTTCATAGAATGTATTTGGATCAGATTTAGATGTCCCTACCCTGTCTGCGCCTGTTGAATAGCTCTCCAGATTTCATGTACTTTGTCATATATTAAGGCCTATCAAGTCAAGTTTGTGTCCCCAAATGTCCTTTGGTCTGGGTTCATCCACTAGAACCTAGTTATCCTATCTGATGTCACACCCAGTAGTTATCAGTTACCAGTAATTCCTCAATTAAGGTGGGCTTCTTGCCCACTTCCCCACTTCTATGTTGGGATTTTGTCTGGCTTGAGTTGTGTGGTTTTTGTGCATGATGTTACCATTGCTGTGAGTTCATTCATATGAGTAATTCATATGAGTGGCTTTCTGAGTTAACCATCATCTGTTGCATGAGGAAGGTTCACTGGTAAGAATTGAGAGATGTGTTAATTTTCTTTCTAATCCCCTCCCTCCAATTTTGCTATTTTGTTCCCTGAGCCATAGGTGTTGAAATTTCATTGTAGATATGTCACTTAGGGCTGGGCACCTCACAGATACTTGTTCTCAGTGTTTTACTAGTTGTGGAACTCTGTAATAGTCTCTATTTGTTGAAAAAAGAAGCTTCTTTGATGAATGATAAGAGGAACAGTTGTCTGTAAATATAAGAATACATATTTAGAATGCAGAAACAAATTACATTGGTCTAGGGATATGACAAAAGTAGAATTTTCTCCAGGATCTATGACCTTCCCAGCCATGTGTATTTGGCTATGTTTAAAGTACTACATCCAAGTTCCCTCCCATTGAGTGGGCCTTAAGTGAAATTAGATAGCTGTTGATTAACCCAAGATAAAATGCTGCCTCTGCACCAGTAGAGATTATTTGCTGGACTGGTCATTGTGATTTGTACATTTTACATCTGGATGGGATCATTAATTGGTTTACTCCCTTGGCAATTTGAATAGTATCTTCTGATACTATGAGGGCACTATAGTCTTCAGGGAGGGGGCTTCCAGGTCAGTTCCAGCTCCATTGCTCAAAGTCCTTTGCCCAAAATATGTCTTGTCTTCTGTACTAGAGTCTTACCTTCAAGTTCTGGGAGGCAGTCAAGGGCTGTGGCAATAGCTCTGTTATTTTGGGAATCCCTTGGACTACCCTGACCAAGAACTTGAAGGAAGTTTTTCCTTGCCTGTCACTGTGGTTTTAGTCATATATACACATGCTATACACATGCATATATATATATAATGTGTGTGTATGTATATATAGTATATTTATTTTTCAGTAGGCTGTTGAACTAATACTTCCCTCTGGTTTTTCACACCACCTAATCATTATTTCTCCTCACTCCTCCCCTGAATAACCCTTCTATTCCCTCCTCAGTTAAAGTATCCCCCATTTTCCCATTTCCCTCTTGATAACACATGTCTCCTATTACCCCCCCCCCTCAAGTTCCTTCTTCCCCATTTACACCCACAGTTTCATTCTATTTTCCTGGATTCTGTGGTTACATCAAGATATATACATTCACATCTAGGGATTTGGAGCTAGGATCCACAAATGAGAGAGAACATATGTCACTTGTTTTTCTGAGTCTGTGCTACTTCTCTTAGTATAACAATTTCTAGTTCCATTTACCTGCAAATTTCATGATTTCATTTTTTCTTTGCTGCTGAGTAGAACTCCATTCATCTGTGGAGGGACATTTAGGTCATTTCAATTTCTTAGCTAGGGTCCAAAGAGCAGCAACAAACATGTCTGAGCAACTGTCTCTGCAGTAGGATATTGAGTCCTTTGGGTATATGACAAGGAGTGGTATAGCTGGATCAATAATTTAATATTATCAATAATCTTGGCAACTGTTCTAGTTTGCTTTCCATTGCTGCAACAAAAATACTTGACCATAACCAAGTTGGGGAGGAAAGGGTTTATTTCATCTTACTGTTCCAAGTGACCATCCTTTACTGAGGGAAGCCAGGGTAGGAATTCAGGCCAGAGATGTAGAGGCAAAGAGCTGAAGCACTGACCATGGAGGAAAACTGCTTACTGGCTTGCTTCTCTGACCTCTGTTCAGCGTGCTTTCTTAAACAACCCAGTACCACCTGCTCAGTGGTGGCACTGCTCTCAATGGGCTGGGCCCTCCCACATCAACCAGAAATTAATTAAATGCCCCCCAGACATAGCCATAGGCCAATCTGATGGAGACAGTGCCTCAGTGGAGGGTCCTGCTTCCCAGATGTGTCAAGTTGACAACTGAAGTTACCCAGCACAGCAACATTCCAACTTCCAACTGTTTTGAAAATATTAATTTTTCAGTTTGGTTGTAGAGTAAGAACCTAAATACAGTCCCTACAGTAATTCAAGCCTCGGCCATCTCTTGTTTGGATTACTAAAAACCTGCCACCCAACTGGTTTCTCTGCTTCTCTCACCTTTCCTTTTTCAATTTATTGAAAATTGTCTTCAAATTATTGAATTATCTTTACAAAGTACCTGGAGCAACCCTGTCCACACACAAGACAGAGCATGTTACTATTCTGCTCAAAACCTTTCCATGTCTCTCAGATTACAAACTGGTCCTTATAATTCCCCTGCCATCTTACTAGACCTGGCTGCCACCCAGACCTTATCTCCTATCTCTCCTTCCTCCTGCATATGCCTGTTTTCTACTGGCTTCTTTGTTGTTTCTTGGGCAGGTCAAGCACATGCGAATGTCAGGACTTTATTCCTATAGTTCCTTGGAACTCACGTCTGTCAGTTACCCGCATAGCTTGCTACCTCTGCTGCTGCAGGATTCTGCAAAATATCCTTTTATTGATGTAATTCATTTTCCTGGTCTCCCCGCACCCACCCTAGTGCACACTCCTTTACTCTGTCTTCAGAGTGTTCACAGCTTTCTGTCATCTTGCTAATTTGTGTCTTCTCCATTGGGTTGTAAATTCAAGGCACTATTTTGCTCACTGTATCATTACTGCCTAAAATATCCCTTGGCATGAAGTAGGTATTCGATAAATATTTGCTGAATAGATGGATGGGTGAATCTAAGAATTCATGCATAAGGATTGTAGGAAAGGTTTTCCTTGGAAATTGCTGAATAGTATTTTGAGAGCTTTAAAGGGGAAAAGGAAAGATCGAGTTAGGAGGTTCTCTAATATAATGTGTTCTGTAGAGATTTTTCTCCCCTAATAGATGGCAGTCAGAGATGGATACCAAGGAGTTCAGATTAGAAATGGAAATGCCTCTTAATGTCTTGTGCCTTATCTCTGAATACAAAGTATCGCAAGATAATTTAAAAGATGAACTACCAAGGAGTAGAAGCCTCATCTGCTTTCCTAACCCCCAGGAAGTTAACTAATTGTTGATGAACAGACAGCATGCAGTGTAATGAAATGTTGGTGACTGGGATTTGGGAGAATGCTTCAACTGGTTAAGTGTTTGCTACATGAACATGAGGACCTGCGTTCAGAGCCCAGCCCTACATTAAAAGGCAGGCATTTGGTTTGTATGCCTGTGATACCAGTACTGCGGGATGCGGGGGGACAAGCAGATCCCTGAAATTTATAAGTCAGCCAGTGTAGCCAGCCAATGAGTTCCAGGTTCCGTGAGAGATCCTGTATCAAATATTAAGGTGGATGCCAGGCGTAGTGGTGCACACCTTCAGTTCCAGTACTCGGGGGGCAGTGGCAGGTGGATCTTTGTGAGACTGAGGTCAGCCGGTCTACATAGTGAGTGCCAGGCCATCTGGGGCTCCAGAGAGATCCTGTCTCAGAAAAAAATTTAAGGTGAAAAGTGATTAAAGAAAAAGCCCAATGTCCTCCTCTGGCCTCCATGCTCACACATAGTTGCACAGACATGCACACATGCAAGGAGATGTGTACACATACCAACACTTGTACACACTAACCAACATACACGTGAATACATACACATGCACACACAAAGTTGGAGATTGGAAAACTTGAGTCAAAAGGAAGCAGCTGAGCTGAGTGGAATTAGAGGTTAGAAGTAAAGGAGACAGCCAGGCAGAAAGACCGCCTCTCCTCTCTTGGACAACTCCCTCATGAGGACTCCTCCGGTATTCTTGGCTCCTTTTCTTACTTTAACTTGATGTAAATGCATAAGAAACATTTTTATTCTCCACAACTCTACAAATATGTTATGGCAGATATGACAGACGTTGAAATACATTTTCAGCCTTAAAGTTCAAATTCTATATCCAGGAGAGCTATGTGAATGAATATGATCTTTACTCTCTGCAGTACCATGAGGGAGACAAAAAGTTTGAGGTCAGAAAAGATATTCATTTGGAAGAGGAAAATAATGTCTAGTTTCCTACCTCTTTACCACTCATAAGAAGTGGGCAGACATGCAGACACACAACACACACACACACACACACACACAAACACACACACACACACACCCTTTCAGGAGGTGAATCTCAGCCTCCTTACAGAGACACTATGAGGTAATGAGGACATAAGGGCAATGTTCACATTATGAGATCAGAACTTCTCACTAACAACTCTGCCTCTGAAATGCAGTGAACCTCAGTTTTCCTCCAGCAAGCATCCTAGGGGAACTCTTTCTCTTTATTCCCATAGAATGGGGATTTAAAATCAAGGGAATGAGACCTAGGGCAAAAATTGAGATGGCAGAGAAGAGTTATAAGAACTAGAAGCTTTTCCTCATTGGCAAGTTTTCAGTATTATTTCTATGCAGAAATAAAGGATTCTTTATGTCTGGATGGATACCAGAGAGGATGAACAGTTCAGTCTTTCTCTTCAGACTAGCAATTTCAAAGCAGCCTTGGTTGATTTTGACAAATTGGTTGAACAGACAATGATCCAGAAAAAAGGGGAAAGAGCAGGCTTGTTTATCTCAAAAGAAGGTAAGATCAATGATCAGAGGGAAGTCCACCTGGGGTTGTTGATTGGAACTGGGGTACTTTTTTTCATGTTTTAAAGATTTTTGTAACTCAAGTTTTGAGGAAACCACTAAGTTCTTACAAACAGTTCAAAGGAGAATTCAAACAAGCTGTCAGGAAGACTGACAGAAATACAAAAAAAAAAAGTGGTCCATACACACAGGTAATGATTAACTTCATCTCCACTAGACTTAGTTTGCAATATTCATTTCATTACTCTCAGTATTTTACAACTTAAAGAGCTGTAAAATAGTTCAAAGGCAAAACAAAACATAGAGACATCCAGCAAGGGTGTATTAGGTAGGACACAAATCTTTATTTGCCCATTTCAATGCCTTTTACAATTTTGTTTTTTGGTCACTGTGTAACCTTGGTTGGCCTGGAACTTACTACATAGACTAAGCTGGCTTCAGACTCACAGAGATCCACCTGCTTCTGCCATCCCAGTTCTGGAATTAAAGGCATGGGTCATCATTATGCCACAGTCTTTTAAAATGTTTCCTGATACTCGTGTCACTGAGGTCTGAGCTGAGGACTGATTGCCCCGGAGTTCCCCTTCTTCCCAGAGGCAGACAAAGAACAGAATGCCCAGGGAAGAATGAAGTAAAGGCTCAGGAAGGTGTGAAAGCAGGCTTTTAGTGAGGCAAGAGCAAGGAGCAAGAGCTAAAGACACCCTCTTGGGTGGAGTCTCCAGAGCTGGTTAGACCACCAAGTGACTTCTGGGCTGGTTCTTTTATAGGGCCCCTGGGTTTTGCTCTCCTTTGTTTCCTATATGGCCCAGATGGCCCCAGCACAGACAGAGATAACTAAAACAGATATCTTTGTCTGACTGATGGTTTCATCACCAGTAGTCTTAGTTTGTGGTATATCCTTGTTTGGACACATTCCTGGAGTTAAGTGGGACTGTTTTCCTTTCCCTCCTTCTGACCTTTGCCCTGACTGCCTTCCCTTAGCTAACTGCTAACACTTGGCTAACTATGGATGGGGACTCATACAGAAATTAGCAATTATTTGTAGATTAGAATAATATGTACCTTTATACCATTGCATGAACTCACCTGCCAGGGATATAGCAATCATGTGGCATTAACATCCATCGAAGTCGTCTCTTACCAATGCTCTGCAGAACTGAACGTGTCATTCCGAGGCAAGGATGCTGAGAATGTGAAACACTTTTGTGCAGATCCTCAAAACTAGTGCTTCCGGGGTTTGGGCTTTGCTAAAGTGAAGACATTACCTCTCCCCATCCTAAGTGCCAGTCTTCTTTATATGGAGAGGCCCAGTGCCGGGCTGGCATTATCTTGGGGAATGTTCTTCAGGTTCTATTTGAAGCTCTCTCTCTACAGCTCTGCCTTAGTTCTTACAGATCCTTCCAAACGTCATCCAAGTGATAGGAGATGATAATTAGATCCATGCTTTTATTCTATGGCAACTGAACACTTTCTGTTTGTGATGCTGTTCTATCCACCCACCTAGTCATCCATCCAGTCTTCAATTAGACAGCCCAGGCCAGACTCTGGGCTAGACTTTATGCAGAAGAAAGTGAGGAGAAATTTCCTAAATCCTGTCAAATGATATCTTTCCAGGGAGTCCTGTCTCCCAGTCTGTTCCATGAACTTCTCTTGAAGAGACACAAGCATCTGCTCACCCCATGTTACTGAGCTTACTTACAGAGCATGGGTCAGGGGTTATGTACATCATTGAAATCCTTCTAGCATGGGTGGCTGCTTCCCATAGTTGCATAGATGGAATTCCCCCTGCCCCACCCCCTTCAGCTAACCTTCTACACACTTTATACCCTGCCATCCAGAACTGGGGAATATTTTAAGCTATCAGAGAAAAGAAACCTGGCCGGGTTTGGTCACACATACCTTTAATTCCAGCACTTGGGAGGCAGAGGCAGCCTCTAAGATTGAGGCCAGCCTCATCTACATAGGAAGTTCCAGGCCAGCTGGGGCTCTAGGGAGAACCCATCCCCCCCCCGCCCCAAAGAAAAAGAAAGAAAGAAAGAAAGAAAGAAAGAAAGAAAAAGAAAAATAGCAGTCTCATTTAATAGCCAAGACACAAAATTGGAATTGAGGGGAGGGGAGCTGGGTTCTTTTTCAGTCCATTAATAACTAGATAGACATAGGGAAGCCTTTTCTATTTCTCTGAATCTTAGTAATCTCCATTATAACATTAAAGAGTTGTACTAACAGGCATCAAGGGGTTCTCCTGCAGGCACCACCAGTCACTGGCTAACCTGAGACTCCGTAGAGCATAGTGATCATGTGAGGTCACCTGTGCCACTGTATTGGCTAACTTTCTGACACTGTAATAAAGTCTCCTGAATAATCACCTGAAGAAGAGGAAGAGTTATTGAAGGGTCCAGTACATGGTTGGTTGGCCTGCTGCTTTGGGGCCTCTGGTAAGACAGTAGATTATGATGAGAGCATGAGGTGGAAGCTGCGCACATCATGCCACCTGGGAAGAATACATATATACATATATACATATATACATATATATATATAAAATACTATATGCTGGAACCTCCAGGGAGCAGTGTGGTGTGTGTAGTTTGGAGGTATTGGGGACAACATTGAAGAGTAAAGCAAAATAGCAGTCAGAAAACCCAACAGAACAAATCCTGGTGTCACAATAAAAGGAACAGGGACTCTCCAGCAGCTAATTAGACAGCCCCAAAAGTGCCGGATTGTATAGTCATATGTAATTAAAACTCTTGACTTTGGATGTTCAAACTCAAGAAAGTATTGCTTGTATAGTATTTAATAATTTGGAAGTAAGTTATGTAAGTATAAGTTTATTTGATTTACATGAAAATCTGAGCAGATAAATATTTGATTCATTTTACTTGTGAAGACAATGGGAGGAACTGAGGAGTCACCCACCCAAGTCACTCAAGTGTCAAGAGGGCTCAGACCTTTCAGGATGTCCTTCAGAACGCTGATCTTGGCTTTTCTCTCTGAACTACTCAGCAAAGATTTCTTCTCCTCCAGTCAATTTGTTTCTCCTCTCTCTATAATTGATTTTCCAAACTCTCACCACGTTTCTGAAGCCTCGATGGGATTTCTGCTTCTCTCAGCCAAGCTTCCTACGTCATAGGAGACAGCCAAATGCAAAGACTAGAATTCTCTCAATTTCCTTGTTCTTTACTCCAATAGTGCTGAATGCAGCACTGGTCCCTTGCTTCCCCTTCAAGACTCAATTTGCTGCAACAGCCTCAAAATCTCCTTTTCCACTAGCTTTGTCCTCCCAATCTAAAAATATCTTCCTTTGTCCTTTCCTTGACTTTCTCTCCCCTACAGCAGCCACGTTATGTCTTTCCTTTGCTTCTTTGCTGAATTTTTCCACCTCTTTCCCCATATACTCCAGGCTACCTCCCTTCCTTGCTGAAAATGTATTCAGTAACCTAATGTGCTTGACAATTCAGTAAGTTGGTTTTCTTCCCCACCCCTTTTATTTTTAAAGACCAGGGTCTCACTATGTAGTGCAGGCTGGTCTTGAACTCAGGATCTCCCACCCTCTGCCTCTAGAGCGCTGGGATTCCAGGTATGCAGCACCATGTCTGGCTTTGTTTCCCCTTTTTGCAACCCACATGGCCATTTCACTGTGTGAACACTGGCCTTTGCCTCTGCTTCAAGGAACCCCTCCCCTGTCCCTGCCACGCTCCTGATTTCTCTCCTTTATCATTCTTCTTTTCTCCTTTTGTTTTCCTTCCTCAACTTTTGCCCACTGTGTTCTTGCCCATCTTATGTCATTTGCACCGAATCTTGGGAGCCATGCCTCTTAGTATAGATTTGGACTCTGTTGTGGTAGTTCTTTCTCACTTGCCTCTTACTGTAAGTCTTCCTGCCAGAATTATTCCTTCCTGTGTATTAGTGCAGAGAGGTTTTCCTTAAAAGAACCCATGGGTTTGCTGTATTCCCAGCTTATTAACTCATCTTCAACATCCAAACCTTTTAACTTGGTACGCAGAGCCGTTCACCAAGCCATGCCTCAGCACCTGGGACTGCCAGCCCTGCATCTTCCACTCTGCCATGCACTTTTCAACTTCTAAGAATGTCATACTTAAAAAAATATTTACTTGGGCTGGAGAGATGGCTCAGCGGTTAAGAACACTGGCTGTTCTTGCAGAAGACCTGGGTTCGGATCCCAGCACCCACATGGCAGCTACTGTCTATAACTCCAGTTCCAGGGGATCCGACAGCCTCTTCTGTCCTCCTCAGGCATTGCATGGCACGGGTGCATTTACCCACATGCAGGCAATACACGCATACAGAAAAAATAAAAAATAATAAACTATTTAAAAAATATTTACTTATTTTGTGAACTGAAACTCTACCAACTAACCCCAGCCCTGAACAGACATTCCCAGAAAAAAATTCTGACTGATTAAAATTTCATGATCACCCTCTGACTTAGTATTCTTTCAGCTATCAGGCAAACATCTTTGGATTGTATTAACAGACCACTAACTTTCACCAACCCCAATGCTAAGGATGTCATCAGCTAGCATCTGAGTTTTGCCCACTTTGATATTCCCATCCATGTATTTGAAAAATGCCTTATTTATGATTTCCTTTAGTTCTGTGTCTATATAAAAGTTAGCCACTACCACACTGGAACATGCTATTCACGGCAGCCTGAATCTGTTCCTAGGCCATGGTCACTCATACATGGCTCAGAATAAACTGTCTTTGATCACCTTTGAAGTGCAGCTGTTATTTGCATTAACAGCTTTTATTTATTTATTTTATTTCGTTATACTTTTAGTGACTGATTTTGCATGTGCCATTCCCCCAGCTTGGATCTCTCTCCCAACTCCCTCCGTTTTTTAAGAAAATCAATTGTCACCTTTTTGCAAATACCCCCAAACTGTCCCCAAGTAAAGCCATCTTCAGCATTGCTGGTACATTTATTGCTGTCTCTAGGAGCTTATCCATTTAATTTAGCCTGCTGACATTGATATACATACATTTGTTCCTATTCTGCTCCCTGACCTTTGACCTGAGTCCTTTGACCTAGTCCTCTGAAGGCTAGCTCAGAATCTGTGTCAAGAGATGCTCCTTAAACATGTGCCGAGCAGATGAGTTGGGCTTCCAGTCCTCTAGGAGCTTGCAGTCCCAAATTTGTGGTTGAAACTTCCTTCCTCTGGAGTTTTTAAGATTAGATTAAAAATTAAGTTAGATCAAATAAAAACCTGCTAGACCTTCTTCTAAATGACTGAGGAGATGTGATGCAACCATAATTTATACCAAGCTGCCAATCAATACCATCTGATTAAGTTCATATTCATTAGTAAATATTGGAAAAATAGGATTAACTTTTTATTGAAGGCAAGGGGCTAAGAACCAGAGAGAATCTTTTTTTTTTTTTAAATGAAACAGTGTCTACCTCAAAAATGTTACTAGGTAGTCTATAGAGATTTGTCCCTGTAACATTCCTCTTAGATATTGCCAGTGACCTAATAGAATGCGGACCATCCCACACCCAGAAAATATCATCCCCCTCATTTGGGACATTTAAGATGAAACATGTATTTTTGTGTTAGTTCTATAGGAATTTAAAATAGATACATAAACATTTAGATGTTTCCTAAGAATTTGAAGTCAAAGATGAATAAAATAGAATAATTTATTTTTCACAGGATAGTTCCTAGTTATATATATGTGTGTGTTGTGTGTTGTGTGTGTTTACAATAATTACTCTGTACACAGGTCTAATGAATTCTAGGCAAGTCTAGCTGACTAACTGTTCACAGTAAGAAAAAAATTGATTTCCTCATCTTTTCATCCCTGTACAAAATTTCTAAAATAGCTGAAACAAAAGAGAGCCCTGACCACCAAAATAAAGCTGATTTCTTGCAATTTAGTAACACTTTAATCAAAGACCTAGTAACCTTTCTAAAGATAAGATCTTAAAAATGCAATTAAAATTGGATTTATTAGCTGAAATGAGATTGTAGAATGGAAAAAGTAACTGAGAATCTGATGAAAGCACTTTGCTCTCCTCACTGCAGATGCCATCAATTACGAGAAGTTTTACACAACCGTGCAACATCTGTTTGGTCCTGAAGTGAAAAACCAAGATGTGAAATGTTTTTACAGGAAACTCTGCAACAATCCCGATGCAAAAATCGACTGGTGTGAGGTATTCGCTTTGCATGCTCATTGTATGAAACCAGATCTTACTTCATAGTGTTATTCCTACAGAGGCTAAACATTCACAATGTGTATATGTGGCAGTTTTTAGTTCCTACAGCCATTAAGATGTGGCCACAGCCCACAATATAAAGTGGGGAAAACAGGCAGCTGTTTAGGCATCCTACCAGTGAGTAACTCTTAACAGTTTCAGATGAATGTACCAACTTGAAGAACTGTGCTATTAACAATAACAAGATTTTAAGTGCTTTTGTTACATTCTCCAGCAAATATTTCTTTCTGGTAGTGTCAGTGTGTGCTCAAGTCCCTAACGTGAGAAGCTAGGATTGATGACTTTTGTCAGTCTGTGAACTGTTTTCTGATTGGCAGAATATTGACTTAAAATGTATACACAAATAGATGGCTCAGCAGTTAAGAGCACTGGCTGCCCTTGCAGAGGACCTGAGTTCGAATCCCAGCACCCATGTGGCAGCTAACAGCCTGTGACTCCAGTTCCAGGGGATCTGACCCCCTATTCTGACCTCTGAGGGCACTGCACGACGTGGGTGCACTTACATACGTGCAGGCAATACATTCAGTCACATAAAAATGATAAATAAAAAATAAAATATTTTTAAAGATGTTTTTAAAGTTACACATGAACACACAGGTAATTAACGATTTTTAAAACTTACCTGACTGACTTTCAAAAATGAACCTACCTGACTCACTTTCAAAAATGAATAGATAATAATAGACAAGACAAAACATAACATAATAGTTTAAAGTTTAGGCTATCACATTTAATATTCCCAGAGTCTTTAAGGTCAAAGCCTGGCCCATGGCAGTGCTAACAAGCTAGTCTAGCCATCCACCCCCAATGTGTCAATCAATGAGAGAACAGCGGAAAAGAGGAATTTCTTCACTGGGAAGAGAAACAAAGGGGTCCAGTGACCCCCTCCAAGTCTGTGTTTGGGGGTACTGATAGGAAGTTTAAATTTAGAAAGTTTAAATAGAAAACAAGAGATATTCATAACTAAGCAGCCCTGGTCAAAGTGTGTTCCTGCTCATCATTGATCCTCATTGTCTAAGTCCCAGTCTGTCCTGCAAAGTGGTGCAATAAGTTGTTAGAACTGTGTGAATTCTCTTTCTGAAAGGCAGGTTCCTCCGGCTGGCACCAGGGGTTCCGCCTTTCTCCTTCCCCAGAATGGGATTCCTGGGGAAATTTCATTGCTTTGGGATCCATTGTTTCAGTAGCTTTCTAGCTGAAGGGAGGGGCTCAAGAGTCTGCTTAGAATATCTCCTGCCCAGGCATTGCAACAGTCTGATACGTATAAATGGAACTTTGATGAATGCCAAACTTAGGAAAAATCTGTCCTGGATTCATCTACATATGGACCATCACAAAATTAGACATATGTGATGCCAAAAAGCATATCAATGACTCCAATAGAATAAAACCTATAATAAAATATAGCCCAAATCCTAAAACAAACCACAGCAAAAATTAGTAATTTACTTTTAGAGAAATAGTAAACTAAAATAGCGTTTATGTCTCTGAAGGGCACATAATTCCTGTTGCGTGAATATTTTTCTAACATGGTAAAAGCTGAAAAGCTATCCAACTCAGTTTATGAGAGACTGGGACTTAAACACTGAGTTGAACAAAGAAACAAGTCCATATGACAAATATAAATGCTAAAGCTTTTGTTTAGATTTTATTTTGATTTTTTTACTCATATGTGTGTGTATATCTTTGTGAATATTTGCTATGTGAATTCAGGTGCCTGTGGAGGGCCAGAAAAGTGTGTTGGTTCCCCTGGAGCTGGAGTTACAGGTGGTTGTGAGATGCTTGATGCGGCTTCTGGGAACCAAACACCAGCTCATAAATGCTAAGGTTTTAAATAACATTTTATATTAATTCCAGTATGTGCATAAAAAAACATTTCCAAGTTAAAAAAAAAAAAGTGAGGATGTGTCAATATT